CAAAGGTCCTGAGTTCAATTCCCGGCAACCACATGGTGGCTCACAACCATCTGTAATGAGGTCTGGTGCCCTCTTCTGGCCTGCAGACATACACACAGACAGAATATTGTATACATAATAAATAAATAAATATTAAAAAAAAAAAGCTCTTGAGGCTTTTACTGCCGCACAACATACACAACATACTCTTCATTACTGAGAATGGAGAGCTAGTGGGTTGTCCAGCCTTAAGGTTACACATCTAAGATGTAAGAAACATAAAAATGTTTCACAGGGTACAAATTCAGGGTTCAAAAGTTGAACTAAGTGCTGACATTCTTTTGATACATAATTTTATATAAGTGAAATATTAGTAAGTTTTGGTTGTGAACCATGGAAATATGTGATCATCCGACATTGTCATTTGAGTTCTATTTTCATGCAGAACACATGCTGAATGGTTTGGACTTTTCTTTATCATCGTTATTAAAGTTTTAACATAGGAAAGTTCTGCAGCTTTTATTGACTTAGTAAAACTCTGCTCTTTGGAATTTCAGTATCAGGTTGGACAGCTTTACTCTGTTGCAGAAGCGAGTAAGAATGAGACTGGCGGTGGAGAAGGAATCGAAGTCTTGAAGAATGAACCTTATGAGAAGGATGGAGAGAAGGGACAGTACACACACAAAATTTACCACCTGAAGAGGCAAGTGGGGTTTCCACCTGTGACCTGCAGTACCTACCTGGCAACCTCCTTATGAGTAGGCCTGCTGAGCTATAATATGTGGTGACGGTGTGTTGTGCTTCAATTTATTGTGGACCCCCTTATGTTTATACTAAATTATAAAAGAGATCCATCTGTCTATAACACAAGTTCAAACAGCGGGGCAGACTGTAAAATTAAACCTTCATCCTCAACCTGGAGAGAGAAGATTACTGGTCAAGAGCACTGGCTGCTCTTGTAGAGGACCTGGGTTTGGTTCCCAGATCTCACATGATGACTCAGCCGTCCACCGCTCTAGCTCCAGGAGATCCAGCACCATGGGTACTAGGCACACATGTAGTACACATACAGGCAAACCACTCATATACATAAAGTAAAAATATGTAATTCATCCTCACTCCTTGCCATCAGTATTCTTAAAAGGAGAAACACTTGAAATACTTAAGGGTTTATCCTTCCAGTCCTAGTTCATCCTTTTTTATTTTTTGTTTTGTTTTTTGTTTGTTTGTTTGTTTTTCCTTTTTAATGTGTGTGGGTGTGTAGGTTCTTGACTAAGTGTGAGTGCCAGTGTTTGTGGGGAGGCCAGAATACAGCTCAGTATTGTGCTCAGGATGATGGTCCCTCTGAGGTAGGGTGTGTATTGACTTGGACTGGCACTGGGATTGTACGTATAGGTCACTGCTCCTCGGCATGTTGACTTGGTTTTGGGGATTGAAGTCAGGTTCTCATGGGCCCAGCATAGTTTATTTACCTGTTTCCTACAGGGTAGGGAATGAAAATTATAATTTTAGATAATTTATAGTTTAGTACATTTTTGTGTTATAGCATACTTTCTGGTTGTCTTAGATGGCTGTACCTTTAGGACAAAGAAGGATCTACTGGAAAGCCATGCCGGTTTCAGTCGTCCTTCAAAGTTCCATATACTAGTCTTCCAAATTTTTCTGTTTTAAATTTTTGCCAGTTTCCATTTTTGTTTTTTTATGAGTATGATTGGATCCCTTGTGCATTCCTCTTAAGCTGGAGTCTTGAATCTTACCCATACCTTTTCCTTCAGATATTTTTTTTACAATAGAAAATGCATACCTGATAGTAGAGATGGCTCTGAGTCATTTGTGACCCCCTCCCTGTCTCTTAAGGTTGGGCAGGCTTCTCTGCTTATCTTGGTTTTCTTCTCTGTACATTCCAGTAAATCTTACTTGTATTCCTAAAGCACCTTGAAGTTGTAGGTGAACTTAGGTGAATAAACTTAAGTTTTATCATTATTTTCTTTTATAAAGTTATATTTGTGTGTGTGTGTGTGTGTGTGTGTGTGTGTCACAAGAGAGGAGTTGTCTGTGGAGGCCAGAGAAGGGCTGCAGGGTATAGTGATACACCAGATGCCTGTGCTGGAAACTAAACTCTATCAAGTTCTCTCAACCACTGACCCATTTCTGCAGCCTCTCTTTGACTATAATTTTTGATTCATCCATTAATTCAGTTCTATAAACAACTAAAAGTTACTTACTAAAAGCACTGAACTCCTTCTGGGAGTGCTAAAATAAGTTGGAGGTTTAATGTGTCGTATTGGTCTGTGATAACCCTGTGTAGATTACAGTTCCAATGTGAAAACATCAGCTTGTTGCATTGTCGTATTGGTCTGTGATAACCCTGTGTAGATTACAGTTCCAATGTGAAAACATCAGATTGTTGCATTGCTGTGGCAAAACACCTTGACCAAAAATAGCTGGGTCAGAAAAGGGTTCATTTGACTTACAAAGGGGCATGTCAAGACAGGACATGAAGCAGACCCTGGAGGAGTACCACCTTAGCAGCCTGCTCCCCCTGGCTTGCTCAGTCTGCTTTCCTGTAGCACCCAGGACTCCCTACTCAGGGGTGGTATCTATCCCCTGGAGGCCCTTCCTCATCAATCATTAATCAAGAAAATGCACTTAGATTATAGACTTGCCGGCAGGCAATCTGGTGGAGGCCTTTTCCTAAAAGTTCTTATTCCCAAATGACTACTAGCTTGTGTCAAGTTGATAGAAAACCAACCAGAACACCTCTTGAAATAAATGTGAAATATCTTTTGTTTGAAACCTAAAGGTTCAGATATTAGAAAAATGACACCTTGTTATGTAGAAAAGGTCTATTACTGGGCCATTAGGTATTCATACAGTGTTCCGTGTTTTTAAAACCTAATCAGATAAAAACTCTAGAAAGTCATTAAAATGTGAGGAATGTTTATCACTTGCTGCTGAGATATGGGTGATTGCATTTTTATGGGAAAGAAGACTATTAAATACCACTTTCGAACATTTATTTAGGCAACTCTCCAGCCATAAATAGTAACTCTTAGTTGAGGAGAGCTATAAATATGGTCACTGCAGTTGGTATTATTGCTCAAAAGCTTATTTGGACAGGATAGAACTTTGAGGCTTGGTAGTACCAGCTCTCTGGAGGCAACCTTCCTGTGTTCCTGGTCTCCTGGAGCAGTGAAGGAGCCAGAGTCACCCTACATTTTCTGTGTACAAGTCCTGAGACATGGACAGTTGATGAGTTTAGCCAAGAAGTCATAGGAATGCACACTTACTGTGGTCAGTAAGTGACAGACTTGCATACGCTTGACTTTTAGTTTCTCTTTTGCTCTGAGTATGAAGTCCCAGGCCTGCGGAACCCATTTGAGAATTCAGTGAGCACAGGTCCCCTGAGAAGGAGCAGAAGGGGGCTAACGGGATGGTGAGGGCTGCTTGACTTTGTGTCCACTCTTACCAGACCCTTCAGCCCCTGTCCAAAATGGTAGCTGTAGATAGAAATACAGGGAAGCATAAAAGGAGAACAGGAGAGAGGGCAACAGTGATGGGACTTCATGGGAGAGATGGCCAGAACGTTGCGATCAATAGAGACCATACAGACCATTGTACTGTCAGGGAGCAAGAGAGACTATGGGATGCGGGCAGGCCTCTCAGGCTCATTGCTGTCACACTGATAAGCCACCGGATAACCACATTACAAAAGGGCACAGATGACTTAGCATCAAGTAAAGCCTTGATCCTAGGAAAGGCTGATGCCAGTACAGGCCCTTCCAGGGCCTTGTGTTACATTTTAGGTGGTGCCCACTAGCCTTGTTTATAGGCTTAGCATTTAATTTTTTAGTTAAGTTGTGTGCCCTGTCCCCACTTAATATCAGTAGAATTGAAGATTTTGTTTAGACCACCAACACCTTATTTTATCAAATTGTGACATTCTGTCTTTCACTTGACCCACAGTAACCAAAGTCTAGACTCCTTGGCTTCTTGAATATAGCCGCTTGTGTATGAAGAAAAAATACTGTTCAATTATTATTTTGGATTTTTTTGGTGTTTTGTTCTTTTGACTGGTCTCGTGTACGTCGGGTTCCTACTTGTGATCCTCCTGCTCAGCCTCCTTGAGTGTTAGAGCTGTAGACTGCACTGCTACAACGGGCCTTGCTGCTCTTGACTATGCAGGACACCTGAGTGTTAGGCCTATCAGAGAAGTAGTTTGCAGAGCTCCCCTATTCCCTGGGCTAATTTTATTTTCTAGGGAGTACCTTGTGAAGCCGCAACAGTTTATTATTACGCTACTGTTATTATTTTAAATGGAGTTCCAATTTACTGGTTTTGTTTGTGCTTATCCCAAGTCCCCAGCACTTCACTGCTAGCTAGTCCATTTGTCCATTTGGAATCGATTTTGCCCCACCATTCATTCTGCCCTCTCCTCCACTTGATTTAATTTTCCACACAGAGCCAGAGTAATCTTAAAATTTGACCCAGGTTGTATTGTTCTCATTCTCAAAGCTTTCCACAGCTTCCATGTAAGACAAAAAATGAGCTTTAGGGTCCAGCTTGTTGGCATGCCAACCATCCAGTCTCTGACTGCCCATACCTCACTGGCAGCCCTGTCTGGTCATCGTCTTCCTTTGGTCACTACAGTAGCCATGCTAGGAACTGCCATAGCTCAGGCCTTGCTGTCCTGCTGTTTCCTCTCCTGCAACATGCTCTGCCCAGTGGTATGGTTCTTCGTTTTTGTCTTCCATTGTTTCTGTTTCTTTCCTGAAAGGACAGCTGTTTTGGGATTGCCCCTGTTGGTTCATTGTTTCCCAACCCCCAGTGTGGCAATTAGTCATTTAAACCATGTAAGTCTCTCTTGTTTTTCCTATTATTCTATGACAGTTTTCTCCCCTGAGCTGGAGAGACTGCTCAGTTGTATTGTTGTTGCCGAGGACTGGAGTTCAGTTCCCAACACCCATGTCAGACAGCTCACATGTAACTTCAGCTCCAGCTCTGGGGGATCTGATGCCTTTGGCTTCTGATGGCACCTGCATTCACATGTAGCATTTTTGTCTTTTAGCTGCCCTGTCTGGGAACAAATGGGTTTATGACCATTGTTCCATTATGATCAGATCTTAATATAGCCTCCTTTCAACACAGTAGAATAAAATACTGCAGTTGACTTTGATCCCCAGGTTGAATATTCTTCAAGTGTGTGACAGAGACGTGCCATCTGAGAGGACCTTCATGCTATGGGCTTCTCTTTGCCAGCCCACATCTAGACAGGGTACTTTGAGGTGAGATCTGCTAAAAACATCAGAAGCAGTCACTGTCTCGTGAATGCTTAGGGAAGGAGAGAGGAGAGAACTTTGAAGGCCTAGTTTCATTTCATAAGTTTATTTACTGTCATTTCCTTTTCTCAGGCTCTCTAAACTTTTAAAGTGATTTTCGTTAATCAATGTGATAGAGGAAGATAGATAATTTAAGAAAGATGAGATAAGAGATAGAGGAAAAATGATAGCTAACTTCTAGTTGCCTTGTTAAGAATGTGAAAAATGTCCACCAATGAAGATTTCTTAAAATCTGAATTTAAATTATATTTTGTTTATTCCAGGTACACATTTCCCAGGTCTATCTAGTCATTACTAGTCGTGAAGAGAAGCTTACCTATGAATGTTCTTATACTAAGTGCAAACCTATAGTGAGTTTGGAGCAGCTAGCTCAGAAATGGAAATTTCATAACTGAGATTTTAAAAAGGAACTTAAATGGTAGAAGCAGTCTTCTGGAACTATGATAGGAGACAGTCGAGGCTAGACGGAAAAATATTAGAAGTGGGCATGTTGGGTCATAGTGCTTGTTGAGCAAAAATAAGGATCAGAGTTCAAATCCCCAGCACTCACAGAAAAACTGGATGTGACTGTGTACACCTGGAACCCCAGCCCTGTGGTGGACAGAGATGGGAGGATTACAGGAGCTTGCTGGCATTCAGTATTGCTCCAGGTTTGGAGGGAGACTTTTTCAAAGGAATAAAGTGTGAAGTCATAGGACAGGGCACTTAGCATCCTCTGGCCTTCTTGAGTATGCACACTGGGAAGTATACAGGTTTTATACTGGTTTATAGGTATTAAACTTTTTCCACTATTGGGCTTTGTAGAATAAACTGTTTCTGATGTAATCCCTAGGGAGTTTGGCCAGCCTTTTTTTCTGAGTTGACTGGCTGAACATTGACAGGTTATTTGCCGTGTTCTGAGATGAAGTGTATTCTAATTACGCGTAGGTATTACATTATGCTCTGTTGGACCTCACATTGCATGAGGACTGTCGGTTCTACTTCTTAGCTGTGTGAGGTTTACACTTGATGTTCTTTGTGTGTGTGCGTGCAGTACATCTGTAGGTGAACGTGTATATGCATGCTCACATGCTCATGAGTGTGCATCGTGTAGAGGCCTCAAGGCAGTGATGAGATGTGTGTGCATGTGTGCTATGGCACACATGGGGAGGTTGGAGGACAACTGGGAATCAGCTTTCTCCCTAGGGATTGGACTCAAGTCATCAGGCTTGGTGACAAGAACCTTTACCCACTGAGATGTCTTACCAGCCCCTACCCTGTCTTCTGAAGCATGCACCAGGAGTTTGCCCACTGTCTGACCAGCAAGCCTCAGGAATCCTCCATTCTCTAGCTTCTCAGAGCTGAGATTACAAGCTTATGCTTGACGTTTTACATAGGTTCTAGGGATGAAGCTTGGGTCTCATACTTCTCCCCAACCTGCCTTTGACTTTAAGACAACATTCTTTTTAGTTATCCTGACTTGATATTTCTGAAGTTGGTGTGAGTTAGCCTACAATTTGAAAAGAATAAATGCTCAGAGAATTGACCTTCATTCATTGGGGTTTTTTTTTTTTTTTTTTTTTTTTTTCGAGACAGGGTTTCTCTGTGGCTTTGGAGCCTGTCCTGGCACTAGCTCTGTAGACCAAGCTGGTCTCGAACTCACAGAGATCCACCTGCCTCTGACTCCCGAGTGCTGGGATTAAAAGCATGTGCCACCATCACCTGGCTTTCTTTGTTATCTTTGAAGGGCATGAAAGCACATGGAAAATTCTTTATGTCTGCCCTAGGATTGTTGCTTGCCCCACCATTCAAACTATATATATTTTTCTGTGATGTAATTTGTCTGAATAGTGAAACTCCCCAGCTAGGTACTCCACCCGTGTCGTGTCCTTTGGGCCTGGCATTTTGGGTTCTCTCTCTTCATGCCGCACAGCTTTCTAGGTGGTGTGAGGCTTCTCAAGGGTGCTTTGTTTAGCCTCCAGCATTGAGTTTAGGAATGGCTCCCGTTAACTTGCTCACCCTTAATCCAGTCGGAAATCCTTCCTGGCTCCCAAGTTTGCTTGCTTTGTTCTCTGTCTTATTAAATAAATGAGTTTGACTTTTACTGTGATATGTAAAGAATATATAAAATGTTTGACGTTGGAGGTATGATGTAGTTTGGCTTCTATGATTTAACATCTGAGTTACTAGCTATCTGAGATAATGGTGTTCCTGGGACATTGAAATGAGGAAAGCCCCTCCCTTTAACCTCGGCAGCCAGTTTTCGGGGCTTGGGGGGCTTTCAGAATTCTAGATCCATCATAGACTGTGTGTTTCAATTTTTGTGATTCCAAACTAGAAGATCTAAGCAGTGTGCCCAGTGTTGACAGGTTAGAAGGTAGATTTGAGAGTTCAGTCTAGTCTGTCTGGCAGTGTCTCTGTCATAAGCATGTTCAGTTCATCAGTATTTTTGTATAAACTGCAAAGACCAGTTTTCTTCTTGTTAGCGACTAGTGCTTTCTGTTTATAAGAGTATATCAGCTGTCTTCGGGTGCTGTTCTTGATGGGTTTTCACAAGCCTGTGTGTGCCAGTCCTGCATCTAACCTTCTTCTGATCACAGTTGAGGCATCTAGCAACAGCCATCTCTTGAACTTACATTTTTCTTTCCTTTCCATTCTTTTCTTTTCTTGTCCAAGTCAGGGTCTCCTACATAGTCCTCCATGTCCTGGAACTCACTGTGTGAACCAGGCTGGCATCAAACTCACAGAGATCTGGCTGCCTCTGTCGGTGCTGGGATTGAAGACGTGTGCCACCACACCAGGCTTTTTTTTTTGATGAGACAAGGTCTCACTCTAATTCATGCTAGTCTCGAGCACATGGAGATCCTCCTTTCTGAGCCTCCTGAGAGCTGAGGTGACTGCTATTTAGACATAACCCTGCACTTATGGCATGCTTCTGTTGGGAGGAAGCCTGGCCACGTGAATGCCAGTGTTGTGGCAGTGTGTGGGCTGGATAGCTTCAGTCACCTGTGGGAAGTTGATTCACACTCGGTAGATGGTAAGGACCACACACACACACACATTTAAAAGGGTGGAGATGAAGCTGAGTGGTACAGTGCTTCCCTACCATACCCAGTACCACCAAAATATAAAATACACACACACACACACACACACACACACACACACAGACACACACACACACAGTAACTTCTTTTATATAGCTAAACTTTCTTCATTTTTAACATTAATTTGCTACTTGATTATTTTGGGATTGAAATAAACTGTTAGTGCTATATAGTTCATCAGATTTAGAATGTGATAACATTTTTGATAGAAACAAAAACGATGGTACAGTTGAAAATGTATCCAACATCTCTCTCCTTACAGCAAAGTTCCTGCATTTGTAAGGATGATTGCTCCCGAGGGCTCCTTGGTGTTTCATGAGAAAGCCTGGAATGCTTACCCCTACTGTAGAACAAGTAAGCTGGTTCCAGCAGTATTGCATCCTGCTGTTTTTATGAGGAGAGGGACACTAAATGCCCTGGTCTTGAGGATTAGACCAAGCAAAGCCTCCTATAGGGTCTTAGGTAGTTGACTGCTGGGTGGGTGATGGCCGCGGGAACCACTGGTTTCCTTCTTAGATCTATGTGTATCCGTTCCCAGATGACAGCCATATGGAAGTCCTGCTAACTGTTGGCTTTGGGAAGATCAAGTAAACACAGACTTATAAAGGTCATGTACACCCAGAGGTGTCTGTTGTGCTCCAGCAGCACTCTAAGAGGATGGTAAAGATCTATTTCCCAAACTGTCTTCATATATGATGTCATGCTTTTGCAATATTCTTATTAGCATTATTTTAAATTAAGGTAGATGGAAATAATGCTTTGTACTCTATAATCTAAATTGAGGATTTCTTGGTGTCACTATTGGGACCAGTTTGAAGATATAAGCTACTAAGTGCTATATGTTTGGGATATGTTATATGTTAGTCTACCTGACATTAAATACAGGGACAGGCTGTTTTGACTCCCATCTAATTGAAGTTTTTCTTGTTTTGCTGCCCGCCTCTTCTCTCTGCCTCAGTTGTAACGGTGAGTAGCACACAGTATTCCTTAAACTTTGTTTTCGCATCCTAATGATTCCTAGCTGCTGCTTGCTTTTTGCTTAAGCCCCCATTGCTTCCTGGCCTGTCCTGTGTCCTCCCTGTGCTGTCCCCACCTCATATGTCCTAGGCTTGCCTCACGCTTCTTATTGGTTCTGCTCTGCTTTGCTACTCCTTTAAATGTCAGAAATGCTCAGAAAATTGCCTTTTCTCTGCCCTTGTGCTGCCTGACAAGTGGGAGTGCTTGAATTATGCAAGTGTCGTTTGCTGTACTCAACAAGCCCCAAAAATCAGGAGCTGGGGCTGGAGATTCATCTTGACCATTAAGAGCACTTGCATTAAGAAGGTTGCTCTTTTAGAGGACTCAGGTTCGGTTCCTAGCACCCACATGGTGGTTCACAACTATCCGTAAATCAAGTTCCAGGGTCTCTGATTCCCTCTTCTGACTTTGGCAGGTACCAGACAACATGTGTGGCCCATGTTCATAGATGTAGGCAAAACACTCATACATAAAATAAAAATAAATCTAAATAAAATGGGGAGTTTATTTGGATTTGGAAAGAGGGCCACACTGGGGTACTGTGCGAGGAAAGACTCCCGAAGAACTGTGAAGGATGCATCACTTTCTTGTTGTGTTCTCTGCAGAATGAATATATGAAAGATGACTTCTTCATCAAAATTGAAACATGGCACAAACCTGACTTAGGAACATTAGAAAATGTAAGTTTCCACTATGCACTGAAAGGGCCGGCAAGTAGCTGCCTCATGGTGGCTTGGTCTACATGTATAAGGCCCTGGGTTTGATCACCAGCCCTATCAGAATGGTGGCAGCTCACGGTACCAGTTCTTCACTTGAGTGAAGAAGGCTGTGGGAAAGGGGATTACTGAAAACAGCCCACTCTCCTTAGTGCGATGATGACCCAGGATTAGACAAGCTCCTGGCAGCATGTCTATGTCATTGGGGTGAGGCAAGCAAGCCAGACACAAATAGGCTTCCTCTATCAGTCCTTGCTTTCATGCTTGAGTGTACTCTTCTGAGATCACTGTTTTTATCAGCAGCTCTCCTACATGGAGCAAGGAGGATGTGGGTGACTCACAGATGGTGCGGCATCCAATCCTTACCTGGGGTATTAGACGGTTTCCCTCTGTTCACCAGGGCGGATGTTTACTCTCATGTTTATAACATGAAGTTCCACTTCACTGTTCATAACAGTAGCAAAATTACAGTTATGGAGTAGCAACAAAAATAATTTTATGATCAGGGGTCACCACTCCATGTGGAATTGTGTTAAAGGGTCACAGCATTGAAAACTACTCTTCTAACCCCTAGTGCAGCCTGTTGAAGTCTGGTTGTCGTGTTACCTTTGCTAGCATAGAATTTAAGGGTTCCAAGCACTGTGCTTATATCATTTGCATTAAACAGGCAAAACACATTTTGTTACACAAATCACCTCTTAGCTCTATTATAAAATTGCCCTGACAGATTTCTCATGTATACATCCACCCCTCATTGGGGAAGCAATACAATGAGTAAAAACTGTCTAGATGTCAAGATTACCAGCTGCTATTTTCTGAAATAGTAATTTATCCAATAGTGTATTCTGAGGTACTCGGGCTAAGATGACATATGGAAATGTAGTGCTTTCCTGAAAAAGAACACACTAAAGTATTCTGTTTCTCACAGGTTCATGGTTTAGATCCAAACACATGGAAAACTGTTGAAATTGTCCACATAGACATTGCAGATCGAAGTCAAGTTGAACCGGCAGTGAGTACTATTTGATGGCATCTTGATATGTCCTCTTCACATCTCAGAGTTACCTTCTGTCTTTTGTATAGTCTGCATTTCTACACTGAAATGATCCTGGCACTCAGGTCTGGTCTGGACAACACAGGCACTGGAGGAAGAGAAGGTGATCGTCTCCTGTGCTGTGGGCAAGGAAAAAGTGCCTTACTTATGTTAGAGAGCGTTTGCTCAAGAAGTGTTTCCAAAACACTTTTGTTTACTGCTTTAAAGTCACACAGGTCTTTTGTACTTTTTATGTATGAGTAAGAAAGTAAAAATCTTCCTTACTCACTTAGTAACTTCCTTACTAAGTTTTTATTAGCTCAGTTAAGGCTAGTCCTGTTAGAATCATTTATATGATCGTTTAACCAGCTAGCATGCTATTTGGATTATTTTGCTTGTTAAGCTTTTTAAATTTTATCTGTGGGTTTAATGCACAGCACATGTAGAGGTCAGAGGAACAACTTTCATGAGTTGATTCTCTCTTTCCACCTTCACATGAGTTGTTATGGGGTCAAAACTCAGGTCATGAGGCTGACCTTTACCCACTGAGCCATCTAACTAGCTGTCTTGATTTTTACTAAATGTAAGCATCTGTACCTGCCTCTCACTTAATCTCCCTTCCCCATGCCAGGTGAAGACCCTCACTTGTTTTGGTTTCCTGGAGTTGGTAAATACTAACTCAGGCCTATAGCATGCAGGTACTATATTGATTTTATAGCTGTGATAGCCAAAGATTGTCGTCTGCTCTGCTGGTTCTTCCCTGGTTTGGTTGTTCAGTGTCCCCTACCATTTCTGTTTTTAGTGTGTGGTCTCTGAATTTGAGCAGTGTTGTCAACTAACAGAAATAACCCATATACAAATTATAAAGGTATGTTGTAATAGGAGCAGCGGGGCTGCGTCCCCAGCACCCCTGCCGCCTGCTAGCTTATGCCCGAAATAACAACACACAAACTATATTCATTTAAACACAGCTTGGCGCATAACTAGCCTCTTCTAGGCTAATTCTCACATATTAATTTAGCCCATTTCTAATCATCTGTGTAAGCACCCCAAGGTGTGCTTATCGGGAAGATTCTAGCCTTCTAGCCTACGTCATCCTGGGTCGGCGCTTCATCGTGTGTGTCTTGCTCTGAGAGGAGCTGCGTGAAGTCTGAGCTCACTTCCTCTTCCTCCCAGCATTTTGTTCTGTTTACTCCACCCACCTATGTTCTAACCAATCAGGGCCAAGGCAGTTTCTTTATTTGACCAATGACCTTCCTCCATCAAAGGTAAATCTAAAACAAAAGTCTCTGATTTCTGTCAGAAACACCTGGGGTTGAAGTTGTTCGTTACTATGCTGGACACCGCTCTTTTCGGGACCCTCCCTACTTAGAATTTCAGTGTTGAGCTAGGGTGATGGTTTAGTGAGTATGGTCCCAGTGCCAGATGGCGATGCCTGAGGCTGACCCCTGGGCTCTGCAAACACATGCACCATCACACACCGATAAAAATAAAGATAAATATGTGGGCACTGAATAGTGGGGTGATCCTAATTTGGGTTTGTTTGTTTTTAATTGTGCTGTGATACGAAGTTACCTCAATTTCAAGGATATTTTCACCTTTGAAATTATGTAAAGGAGGAGGCTATTTTAATCTGTCCAAGTGAGGATCATTCAAATGGTGTCTGGTCTTTTTGTTGGGGATGTCCTTTAGCCATTATTTACTGTATGTAAAAGAGTGGTGAAAGGAGGAGAAGTATCTAGGATGTGAGAGGCAGTTAGCCAACAGGTTAGCTGGTCACAGATACGGTGGAAGTGCATTAATACGTTGTTATTTGAAGTGATGTGTTGGCCAATCAGAATAGAATGGTGGCACCAACTAAACCTGGAACTTTGTGGTTTGGTAGAATATAGGACATGTCTGGCTTTTCTGGGAGCATGAGGAGTTTTCGTTCTTGTCCTAGAACAAAAAGTAGACAAGAGTGTGGCCAAGGCAGCCTTCTGCTCTGCTGTCTTACAGGTGAGAAGGCCCCGCATTTGCAAAGGCTGCACAGATGGTTACCAAGGTGCGCTTACCGGGAAGATTCTAGTCTACGTCCATCCTGGGTCGGAGCTTCATCTCGTGTGTCTGGGAGAGCGAAGCATGGCCTCTGCTCCAGAGAGCAGAGCTGTCGAGTCTGAGCTCACTTCCTCTTCCTCCCAGCATCCTGTTCTGTTTACTCCTCCCACCTATGTTTTAACCTATCAGGGCAAGCAGTTTCTTTATTTAATTAACCAATGACCTTTCTCCATCAGCTGTTAGCTTGTTCCTTAGGCTTCTGCACTATGCCTGTGGAAGAGCAGGAAGGAAAGGTGAAGGTGCCTTGTTAAGGTGAACCTATGCAAGCTCATGTCGAAAAAAGAAACACGCGGTTTTGGGTTTGCATGTGTGCTCCTTCTGTCCCCCTGTCATGCTCCCGGCCATCCAGGACCATTATTCCCCCCCCCCCTTTTTTTTTGAGACAGGGTTTCTCTGTAGCTTTGGAGCCTGTCCCGGAACTAGCTCTTGTAGACCAGGCTGGCCTCGTATTCACAGATATCTGCCTGCCTCTGCCTCCCGAGTGCTGGAATTAAAAGCGTGCACCACCACCACCACCACCCCCGCCTGGCGGGACTGCTGTCTATTAAACAGGCATTTAATTTGGTTTAATCTGGTCTGATTGGAATTCTTTGCACTGGTGAAGATGTTCTGTTAGAAAATATTCCTGACATTCAATACTGGGGCTACAGGTACATGAGAGATATACATGGCTGCGTGGATGTTAGGTCTGAACACTTCCGGTTCTGCTGCAAGCATTTTAACTCTACATCATCTTTTCAGCCCAGTTCAAGCTCATAACAACAAAACTTAAAATGGTTGAGTTTGTTTTCTTTTTGCTGTTCACTTTATAAGAAATGAAACACTAGTAGTTTTGAGAAAATAGGTAGTCAAGATCTGTGAGACTCAGGGCATATGTAAAATAGTTGAGAGTAGAAGAAACAAAAATTTGAAAGGAAGCTTGAACCTTTGCACGCCATCTGGTGGGAGTTCTCTGTCACTGCAGGTGGATTTGGTCTAAACATTTCAGTTCAGAGTTACTCAGGCTTGCTCTGTTGGGGCTCACCTTCTGCTGGACTGTGAGGTGGCTCATGTTTCACTGTTGTTATCTTTCTGTGCTTGCTCATTCTTAGAAGCTGTGTTTTACCGTGTATTGAAGGGACTGATCTTGACCCATGGTGTATCTGCATATTTGGCTAAGCGTTCTGACGTGTTTGGATAATTGAAGTGGCGTTGTCAGTATAACTCTAGAAGCAAAGATTTGTTGTGAGAATCTGTCAGTGTGACTTACTTTTATAGCACAGTTGCTTTAGGAATCATGTGCGTGTAAGTGTGGAAGTTATTAGGGGTGTTTTGTTGATGCCTTTCGGAAAAATTTTATAAGACTTGGTTTAGGCACATTATTTTATTTATTTATTTATTTATACAATGTTCTGTACTGCATGTATGCCTGCCTTCCAGAAGAGGGCACCAGATCTCATAGATGGTTGTTAGCCACTGTGTGGTTGCTGGGAATTGAACTCAGGAACTGTGAAAGAGCAGCCAGTGCTCTTAACCATCCCTCTAGCCCCAGGTGCATTATTTCTTAAAGAAACCAGTGGGCTGTCTGATATTTCTGTATAAATATCTCACACAGTTTCTTTTGTTCTTTAGATTGTCTCTACCTTGCAAAACTTCAAGAAATAAGGGTCCTTCTCTGGAGTTCAGCAGTCACAGAGCACACTGTACCAGCAGAACACCTCTGTCCCTTCACACTCCTCTGTCCAAAACCCCTGTGTTCCTGCTCACATTCCCTGCCTTTAGTTTTCTCAGTACCTTGGGCACCACTTGGGCAAGGGCAGCACTGTCTGTGCTCAGAGGCATACTTTTGATGGGGAGTGAACTTTGCAGTCTAGATTTGCTGGGTTTCTTTTTCCTGTAGTCGTTAGCTGGTTTTGTTGTTGCTGCTGACGTTTTTAAATGAGTAAGTCAGGAGGCTGAGGGACGAGGGTTGCTTGAGCCCAGGAGTTTGAGACCAGCATGGGCAACATAGGGATATTCCCCATCTCAGAAAAGCAAGATAAAAAGAAGAAAGTAGAAAAAGATAAGAGAGGGTGGATTTTATTGTGCAGACAGTAATGGACACAGTGCTGCTGCAACCGCTTCCTGACCCTACACCGTGGGAAATACATGATGCTGCCTGCACTGCAAAGATTCTGAGCCGCTGTTTGTGGTCTGGTTTTGTTCAGGTTAAAAAGTGTCCTAATAGATTGTGTGTACAGCATAAAACATCCAAATGTAAGTTTAAAGATTTCCCCCTTCTAAGGTTGTTGTTGATACATAACCACAGCAAAATGTTTGGGTTTCTTTAACTGCCCTGATGAGATGCTCACGCATAGCCTCAGCTCATTTCCAGAATGTACACAAATACAGCACTTGACATCTGCTTCTGCTTTGTTTCCTAAGGTATAAAATCTGGATGTGGCTCTTTTAATCATGCCCAGCACTCTGTCTAAGTAGCTTTCCATGATTTGTATACAAAAGTCACTTCCCAGGAGAGGCAGGCTTATGAGCTTGAAGTGTGCACACCACTAACAGCAGAGTCCTTCAGTTTGGAAGTAATTTGAAAGAAACGAGCACAGGTTTAAAAAGGAGAAATTGGAACCATATTTAAATGAGAAAGAGTTTGTCAGCCTTTCTTCTGGCTTAATACATGCTGTGTGACTTATAACTCCCGGGATGGGTCTCTCTTTTCTTTAGTTGAAATGATGATTTAAAATTTTGAAATCTAAAGTAATGCATTTTAGTATGCTTTAAAGAAGTTAGTAATAAGACTATATTAGTGATTCAGAAATATTAGATTACTAGAAAGATACGGTTTACAAATACTGTTGCAGTGCAGTGAGATGGCTCTCAGATAACGGAGCTGACAGACCTGAGTTCAG